ACAGGGCGACCCTGTCTCAAAACACAGACACACACACACACACACACACACACACACACACACACACACACACACACCAACACCCTTATCCTAAGCACATCAAATAGATCAAATAGATCAATAAGCAGTAACAAATACAATAAAAGCAAACACTCCCATAGAAAATTAGCCAAAAGATACCAATTAGACCTGTTAATTCAAGAAAAAAAAATCAGTCAAAAATATTTGGAATAATTTACAGCATATTATAACTTTGAAATACTAAGAGGTGTGGATGTGACTCAGCGACAGCAGAGTTACTTCCTTCGCATGGGTGATGCCCTGGGTTTGATCCCAGCAATGAGAAGAAAAAACAGCTAATGTAAACTGCTAATTACAAGATGTCACTCTTGATTCAACATATTAAAGATTAAATAATGACTCTACTCAATGCTGGGAAAAGTTGCAGAGACAGATATGCCTGTGCTCTGTGGGTAATGGAATTAGCACAGTCTTTTTGATAGACATTTGTCAATACATATCACATCAACATCTTTCAAAACAGGAATACTCTTGATCTACTGGTTGTGTCAAGTGTAGCCAATGGCCTCCTGAGGTCCCTGAGTCTCTCTCAGGGGTCCATAGGGTCAAAACTACTTTTTATAAAAATATTATTTCCCTTTCTACTCTATTAACATTTGTACCTATGGTTAAAAAAAAAAATAAAAAACCTGTCAGGTCCTAAGAACAAATCAAGGCCAAGACACCATAGCATCACCTTTCAGTGCTCACTGAACTCTTCCTCAGCACACATATGCACTGTGAAACAAAACCACAGGACTGTTTCACTTCAGAATATCTACTACTTAATGATTAAATCACAACCTTCTAAAATTCTGTACCATAAGAAATAAGAAGTAAATACAAAGCATATTTACTAAATATCGAGGTACAGTGGTCTCAGGGGAAAACACTCCTGACAGAGAGCTGAACTAGCCACTTTTTCCAGGGAACACAATTCTTACTTGAATGAACAATGGACAAAATACGATTATTCAGATTTGGGTATCTAGACATTTTCTCAAAAATAAATGACGTGAGCTTGTCATTTCAAGGAAAACAACTAATAGCATTTGTTGCCAATGATAAAATTTGAGCTTTCAAGGGAAAATTCAAATATTGGAAAGCTCATATCCATCGCTATAAGCTTGACAGCTTCAAATCTTACAGACTTCGAATGACATCGGTAGTGAGATTAACAAATGTGACTTTCTGATACAGTGGAATGAAAGCTGACGACGCCTGGAAGGTTTTGTACAGTCCACGACCAACATCCTGCAAATGAACAGGGCATGCTGATAAAGATCATGACGGGTAAAAGACCCACAGAAGTTCAAAACAGGCCGCTTGATTACAATATGAAGAGGAAAAGCTCTTTGATAAGGTTTAAGATTCCACATTACAGTTAACCTTTAAGAGACTAGCATTTGCTAGGTTTTGTGTAAATAAAGAGACCCACAGTTATATAAAAAGCCTATTAAGTAACTCTGCCCTTTTCCAACTACATATGAAACCAGAGTTTCTTGCAATTATTTTTTCTTTCTTGTTTTTTTTTTTTTGTGGGGGGGGGGAATGTATGTTGTGGGGGGTGTGAATGTATGTTTGAATGGTATATGTATGTGTGTACACGTGAGTTGGGGCACACTTGGTCCATGCATGTATGTACAGAGGCCAGAAGTCTACTGGAGTGTCTTCTTCTATTACTCTCTGCCTTCTTTTAGAGACAGAGTCTATTACTAGACCTGCACCTCACTGGGAGCCCCTGAGATCCACCTGTCACCCCCACCCCCACCCCAACCACTGCCCCAGCTCAGGGCTTACAGATGCCTAAGCTGCTGCTCCCGGCTTTTGAATGTGTGCTCGGAATCCAGACACAGGTTTTCATGCTTACACTGAAAGCACTTCACCGGGGAGTCATCGCTCCAGCCCTCTTGCTATCATTGAATCAACAACATATCACAGTCAGTTAAATGTAGATGTAAATAGTTTCCTTTTTTAAGGCAGGAACTAAAGAAATTTGCAAAAGTATATGACTGTAATTTTCTCTCTACCTTTTTTGAAATTATGGCTATTCTTCAAAAAATAATAAGCCTATTTTTCAAAACAAATTCAACTATATTTTTAAATGTCTTAGCTTTATATTTTAGTAAATACCTACAGATATAATCCACATAGGCAAAAATTCTTTTGGGGGTTTCAGTACTGTTTTTGAGTGTAATGGGATCTGGAGACCAAAAAGGTCTGAGTTTATGGCATGATTAGCCCCAACTTCTGGGCATCCACAGTAAGAAAATAAGCAGATTTGACCTTATATATGTGCAGAAGTAATTATGTAAAAAAATTATAAATATAAAACTTTTGAGTACAATAAAGAACCAGATGGGACATCTAGAATGTGATATTATTGGTTAGTTAAAACAAATTAGGTAGAACTTTCAAAAATGAGCAATGTTCACTATATGTTGGGGAAGAGGAAGATAACAAACTAACTGTACTGGATCAAACACAACTAGAAGGAAAAGGGACTCAAATTAAGGGTTCTAGTGAATGCCACCCACCAAAAAATAATTGCTGCTGTCATTATTATTATTAATATGAAAACTAATCAAAGCAGCTTAACATAGTACTCTCAACTAAGAGAAAGAGGGGAAAAAAATTGGATTGCAGGTCTGATTTGGCTGTTAAACATTTCCAAGGTTTTTCATAAGAGGTTTAGACTGTCTGGATTAGTAGAAATTATTATCTCTGAGGTCCTTACCTCAATGACTTAGCTGATGAAATGAGTTTAAAGGTTTTTTAAGACCTTCGTAACTGCCACCTAAAATAAAATGGTGCTTCAATGAAGAAAATTAAGAAACCAACTTCAAAATTGTTTATAAAATTCTGACTAAGCCTACTAAATATCTTCCTAATCCCTTCTTTTACAGGCTAGTTTGGCCTTCCTAAATAAAGTTTCCCATAGAAAGAAAAGTATCCCTTCCCTGAATGGTATTTGGGTGAGGTGAAAAATGTTTGAGCATATCGTGAATAAAAAGGGAAAGGTCATAAAAGAATAAGCAAGACAGCATGATGTTCTCAAGAAGGCAGGGAGCCCTTCGCAAGTGTCAAGTATTTGCTAAGGAAAAGAATGACAGAAAAGATGGAGGAGAAAGAAAATCAAGGATACAACATAGTATTATGTGGCCACAAGGAAACTCACTATTTTTTGTATGTTAATCTATAAAAATCACTTATGGCAGGAAGAGATAGCTTAGCTGGAAAAGCACTTGCCATATAAGTGTGAGGGCCAGATTTCAGATCCCCAGAACCCATATAAATGTCTTAATTCCAGTTTGGATGGCAGAGACAAGGAATAGCCAGGGTAAGCAGGCTACTTAGACTTGCCTTATCACTGAGCTCTGGATTCACTTGAGAGACCCTGCCTCAATGAATAAGGTGAAGAGCAATTGAGGAAGACTCCTGACACCAGCCCCAGGCCTCCGCACACATGCCCACCACATGCACCCAAACATGCATGCTCACATGCATACCACAAAGACCCATTAAAACTATTCAAAAAACAAATTAGAAGGGCTGGCAAGATGGTTTGTAGGTAAAGGCCCTTGCCACCAAGCCTCAGAACCTGAGTTTGATCCCCAGAGCACGTATGAGAGGAGAGAACAGACTCCCACAAGTTGTTCTGACTTTCACACACACCTTGACACATATGTGCCCAATGCATACATATAGACAATGTTGTTATACACGTACATAATAATAAGAGAACACTTAAAAGCTCTATTCTAAAACTGTCCAACACAACAAAAATCTACCTTTTTTCTTGGCTGACCAGCTGTCACTCATTTAACTGTTCATGGGCAGCACTGGCGAAATTAATGGCAATAATAAAATTCCAACCCGCCAGTTGTGTTTCTTGATAGCAACTCTGATAAAAATCCTAATATAAGAAAGGGACAAATACTGCACTTAAGTATGGACAATATTGGAAAGAGAGCCCCTCCATTTATACAGTAAAAAACCAGTTTACCAAAAACTGAGGCCATAAAAAGATATGCTTTAATTATTTAAATAAGAGACCTATTAGCCAATAACTTTTTTCCCCCTATGAGATGTGTCTGTAGTGATACTTGGTCAAAGGCTACACATGATGGATGAGGAAGCTCTCCCCATTAGGTAACTATACTCAACACCATAATATAGTTTTGTGTTAGAAAACATGTATAAAACATTATGTATTTTTTACAGATTCACTATCATAATAACCTCTTTCCTCACGAACGTAATGTTTGGGTCTCAGTTTTCACATCTTTAAATTAAGAAACCCGTTACATAACCCGTAAGAGACCTTTCTTAGAAGACTGGGTAATCGTGAGTCACAGGAAAGTGTCTGGTGGAGAAGGAAGAACGAAATACACGGAGAATGTCTGCACATGATGAGAAACCTTCATACCTGTTTGTCCAAAAGACCAGTGGAAACTCTGGGTGCCAATGTCCCAACTGTATTAAGAACATTTGAGGTCACTGAATTGTACAATCAGTATATGAACCATAGTCAACATAATGAAGCCCCTTTAGGCCTCTGCTCCCTTGTTGGTCTCTAGGGGTCAAATGAACGAAGTCCTCAGTTTGTTGGGGGCGGTGGGGGGAGTTGTTTGAAGACAGGACCTCACTACGTAGCTCTGGCTGACCTCGAACTCAGAGATTTGCCTGCCCTCTGCCTTCCAAGGGCTGGAATTAAAGGCGTGCACCATCACACCGGGCTATTTATTTTTTTAATCTACAAATCCTAGGTGCCTCAGTACAGTAGGCAACAAGTCAGTCTCAAGAATCTACAATTCACATTTTCACTCTGCAGACTCTATTACCCATCATCCACTGCTATATCTGTCAATCAACCGGTGGCCATTTATGGAGCGCCCCGCCCCCAAATACGTATCAGGTTTCCAATAAACATTTGTGACTTGAACTCGGTTGCAAGGCCTGGGGAAGCTACAGTCGACTCGGCCACTAAGAGTTAAGTGTGGAAGGCAGAAGGAGAAAGCTTTCGCACCATCCTCGACCTAACCCCTGTCACTAGTGTTTCTCCCATTCCTATGTGACACGTGGCTCCTTAGCACTGCCACAGTGGCTGAGACTGGGCTGCAAGCAAAAGGCAGTGAGGTGAGGAGACTGGGACTTACCTGGGGAACCTCTGCTTCAGTTTCCTCAGGCTCTGCCTGGTGGGCGGTACAGACACTAGGCACTGGGCTATCTCGTCGTACTGGGCTTTGGTCAGTATCATATTGGGCCTGGGACCCGGAGGTGGCAGGGACAAGGAAAAATCACCCTATGGCTTCTGCAGCCTTGGTGTGGGCACAGCGCGGCACGGCCCTAGGTCTTCGTCCTCCTTAGGTTGCCGCTACACTCCCCGCCCCTCCCAAAACACAGCCCTCGCTGCACAACGGGGCAGACACACACTGCATCCCAGGTTTCAACCCGCACCTCCGCGGCGGAGGCGGTCTGGAGACCCGCTTACCCTTGCTGGGTGTACTGAGCAGCCGCAGTGTGCCGGGCCGAAGGCAACTTGCCGCCATGTTTAGTAAGGGCATGCTAACCAGGAAGCAGCAGTAGCGGGCGGGAAGGTTCAGCGGTTGTGTCTTCAGGGCAGATATCCCCTGCGTCGCCCACCTGAGTTCGAACACAGATGCTCACGGAATCCACACTGCCAGTTTAAAAAGCCAGGGAGGCCTGTTGCACAGATCAGAGGACAGGTCTCTCAGATGTCCCACCAGCCATCAGCTGGAGCCCCGGAAGTCCAGTGCTGGAGCGCGGGATTTGAATTTGTTTCCTGGCACGCCCGATTATCTCAGCAGAGAAACAGGCCTTCGCGTGAACAGAAGCCGAGCAGCGAAATCCACTAGGATCGCTGTAACGAGTTTGGCGTTTGTTGGGAAACTGCTCCAACTTCAGCCTCTCCCTGTACAGCAGTGTTGTGAAACAGCTGGCAGTGAAGAATGACGGTTTCACCTCCCTACACCTCAAGAAATTATCTCTCTGAACCAAAATACTGGACACCCAATAAATATGCATAGAAATGAGTCACTGAGTTAATATTTGTTTTCAATAGGCACTGTGAATGATCTCAGCTCTCCTAAGTGAATTTATTGGAGCTCAAAGCCCTTCCCTTAATTCCTCTTTTAAAACCTTTTGCTTCTTAATGGATATGTGCTGGGTTTGATCTCTTCAAATTTTAACATTTTGAGAAAATGTAAGAAAAAGTGCTTGGGTTTTAGAGATATTTTAAGTGGTTTAACATTAATTTGGATTTGAGGTTTAGTTTAGATAAACCCCCTTTGATAAATCCTTAATCCATCAAAACCTCTGTTACTTTACCTATAAAATTAATTTTTAATTCACGAGGCGGCCTTTAAGACTGAATAGGCTAATGCATAACTAAGTTATGGGATCACCCTAGGTGTCCATCAGTAGAGGGGTGAAGAAAAATATGATGGGGCTGGAGAGATGGCACAGCGGTTAGGAGCACTAACTGCTCTTCCAGAGGACCCAGGTTCAATTCCCAGCACCCACATGGCGGCTACGAACTGTCCTTAACTCCAGTTCCAGGGGAACCTGAAGCCATCTTCTGACCCCCGCAGCAGTACACTTACATACATGCAGGCAATACACTCATACACATAAAATAAAAATAAAATTTTAAAAGAAAAATATACGGACACAGTAGAGTTTTATTAAGTTATAAAGAATAAAATGATGTAATCTGGAAAATGGCTGAGACTGAAGATCATCACATTAAGCCAAATAAGGCTCAAACAAATACTTTGTTTTCTCTCATTTGTAGATCATAGCTTGTGCATACATACAAAAAACCATGTGTGTGCACATATACGTGTATGTATGTATATACATGAAAGCAGAGGCAGATGGATGGAAGTAAGAAGGCTGGGGCTGTTTGAAATTGATATACTTGAAAGACATTCTTTTTATGAATAGCACTATGTACTGTACAATGACCGTATGCCAATTAAGAAAATTTAGAGAATAAAAATTTACATGGCATAATGTCCAGCAAAGTCTGTATAAAATAACTTAGGTAAGATTATTTGAGAAACCTGCTAGGACGTTTCCTAGATGCTGCTTTATAGGTTCCCCATGTAGAGACTCACTCATGCCATTCCCCACACAGGTTCTATTACCATCCCCTCCCTCCTTGTACACAGTGAACAAAGCAAGGCATGAAAAGGTTAAGGAACATCCCAGAGGTCATGAGAATAAGTAAATAGCCCAAGTGGGGATTTAACTGAACTTTGGTTCTAGTAGACGTGGTATCGCCTGCTCTCTGCCATGTGTAATTGCTGCATCAGTCACACTTTCCTAACTCAAAGGTTAAGAATTATTTTAAGGAAATAATCTACATTTCAAAAAATCTTAAAGCTGGGATTTTAAAAACATTTCGTGATTTCGTTTTCTCAAGCATTTCAAACATCCAGTACCAACACTGGATCCTAAACTGAGCAAGCATGCTATTTTCTGAATCTTTACATCAGAGTGCTTCCTTCCCATATGCTTTACATCTAGCTCTGGTTGTGTGACATTAGTACATAACTATTTATTTATGGCAGCATAGCCTGGAGTTGCCACCTGGCTAGTTTGTTGCTGACCCTGCCGTGACTTTTACATGAAAGCTGACTGACGATAAGCAGACACCACTTGGTTCCCCATTCCTTTCCCCTTCACAGCTTCACTCCTTCCAATTCACAGCCATGGGATTTTTATAGAAAACATCAGTTCAAGGATGTTTGCACTAGTTATTTTTATAGCAGCTCTTCTCCCTGGCTCTTGTCCTGCATTCGCCCTCACAACCCTTAAGGAAAATGCCAGGTTTGTTTCCCTGTTTTTATTTTTAACATCCTGGCAGTTTACAGTTTTGACCCAAATCCAGTAGATTGTTTAGAGTTAGTGCTGGGGGAGAAGTGGAGTTATGTTGCCGTTTGCATTGGCAGTGACAGTAGTGTTGTTTATTAAGCGCAAAATAGAAGCAGAGCAGAACTGTTTTGTAGTGATTTAATTGGTTTCTTTTTTCTTGTACTGTGAAATGCTTGGGATTGGCTCCGTACTCCTACGAGACATCCTTTCTGCTACTCCTGATACATCTTGCTCTTATCCCTCCCTGTACTCTGTGTCCCTTGTCTGCTATTGTTTCTTCTAGGGCTTTTTCTGCATGCCTGAAGTTGTCCTCGTTTCTCAGTCAGTCAGAAATACCATTTCCTCATTAAGTGAAGGAGAACTGAAAAAAAAAAGCACTGAAAAGCTAAAAACAGGAAAAAACTGGCTACCTGTTTAGAATAGGTCATGGAATGTGTAACCATGAGCAACTGACAGTCTTTCATCCTGAATGCTCTCATGTTCTCACTATAACCAAAGGAATGTTAGGGCCTCATCTGAAAGGAAGAAAGGCTCTAAAAAGACATATGGAAAAAGTGGAGAGGGGTATAAGTAGGACTGGTGCAGCTCTTTGAAATCACCTACTGCCCTAAAAGGTGAATCCAGTTGAGCAGATTTCCTTTGACCATCCTAGATGATGTAAGTGCTGAATATTTTTAAGGAGGGATAGAGTAGGGGGCAGGGTAGAGACGTACAGTCATTTCAAGAGTGGTATTAACACAAGGGGTTGAAAATAAGAATGAGCCAAGTCACATGCCTGGGAAAGGTATTCCTACTGGAATAAAGAGTTCTAAGTAGAGTGCAGGATATCTGATCTTGGAAAAAATAAACACATTTTCAAACAGTCTGCCAAATCCTATGCATGTTTTAAAAATATGGATATATTCTTTTTATTGTATTGAAAAATCTGATTCTATTTATGGAGTCTTTGCAAAAGTTCACATTGACTATTTTAAAGAAAAGCAGTTGAAGTTTACTAACTGAATAAAGGGAAAGATACTATTTTAGAATCTAATACTATTTTAGAATCTATTATGGGCAATTATCATCCCATTATAACTTATGTCATGTAGTTGGCACCGTTACTCTGTCCAGCAGAGCTGCTGGTTTATAGATTAGGAAACTGAAAGGTCATCTAGAATATCTAGCTACTAAGTTGTCAAACCATATTTGAAGCTAAGCTGTATTGACTATAAAACCTTATGTTCTCACTGGGCGTGGTGGCACACACCTTTAATTCCAGCACTCAGGAGGCAGAGGCAGGCCAGCCTGGTCTACATAGTGAGTTCCAGGACAGCTGGGGCTACAGGGAGACCCTGTCTCAAAAAGACAAAAAACAAAAACAAAAACAAAAAACTTATGTTCTCGTTTGCACTGTATTTTAATTCAAAAAATGATTTGAAAACTCTTGGGTTGAATTATTCTCAATTAAGCATCTATTCTCTAAGACAGCCTGAGCCTTCCCTGGCTACCAGGATGCTTATTGAAGGGGCAGTAATCTTCCACTTTGGTAGTAATCAAAGCACACATTCATAAAATTGTTCAGTCACTTTGACCACCAAAGAGTGTATGGCTTTCTCTTTACACTGTGAGTGTAACTATCTTTTGAAGCGAACTGTCTTTTGAAGCAATGTTTAGGTATCTCTATTTCCAGCTTTCAATGACAAATCATTGAATTTATCCTGATCGCAAAAGAATAAAAGTTTCTAGTAAATAATGAAGATTAATTCAGTTGTGAATACTTGGAACAATGTAATGATTTGAGAAAAAGATGGGAACCCTAACAGAGACAATTCAGCCAGTGAAGGTGGAGTAAGTCCTATAGAAGAAGAGGGAAGAAACAAAACCTAAATATCAGTCTTCTGATAGAGTCCAGTGGTTAAGGTCTGTAAAACAAAGTGGCCTGATTCCAGAGAAGGCTATATATCTAGGGGGCTTTCACCAAGACCCACTACAAACAGAAACTGCCCCATGTACATGTAATTCAGAATGCCACCCGGTTTTTGTTATTCAAAAATACTAAGACACTTACAAAAGGCAACCATTATAACCATGAATATATAACCATTATATATTCATCCATCTTTCTCTAATTTTCTGATCTAGCTTTACAAATTAAATTCTGTTATAAAATCTGTTTCTTAAAGAAAATTAAGACATTGAGAGGTAACTTCTATTTACTTTTATCAGTTATGGTACAACATTCTAGAATGGTGTTTATCAATTTATTTGTGCTAAACTCCACTTTCCCTCGGTCACGGACAAACTGTTAGAATAAGATAAAAAGTGAATTACTCAAAAAATAAAATTTAAAAATATAAAAACATATAAAATGCAAGTCTGCAATTTGTTATTGGAAGAGTCAGTAGAATGCCATTACTATCATCAAACGTTGATGCTTACCATATTAAAATTCATAACAAGAAGTTTGACAACCACCGTTGGCTTGCAAACTGGATTTTACAAAACACCTTATCTTATACAGTCGGTATTACTCGCTACATATATCCAAACAGATTGCTAATTCCAATAAACGTCATACATTCCATGAATGCTTAGTTAGAAATATAACTTATTTCCTTAAGACATCTCAGCAACAGCCACCATCATTATTATTGCCATTATTCTATTGTGTTTAGTTCTTCTCTAGTGTTGCACAGTTTTTAAGTTCAACAGTACAAATCTTTACAGGTTAATTAATTTGCACCCTTTTGGGCTAGTGATGTAACTGAGTGGCACAGCACTCGTCTAGCATGCCCAAGGTCCCAGGTTTGACCCCTAGAACTACATAAAAATAAATCATTTGTACCCCATGGAGTCAACAGCATACATTTCTATAGCACAAAGTCTCAATTTTTCTTTAGACCATAAACTCATCAGTCAGAGTATATATGCATCTTCTGTTTTGAATCATCTGCAGAAGGCCATGGGTGGAAGACAAAGCCTATTAATTGGCATGTACACATTTACCATCACCACACTTGACAAGGAAAAGGAGCATGGGTTGCATTATTACAGAGACAATTACTTTTGGGTGCTTCTGTGTCATAGCACAGGGAGGTACGTGAGCTTGTTTGTTGAAGAAGGGCTGAAACCTCTTAAATTTTCTCCTCCAGCTCATCAGGGACTTGCAGATAACTT